GGGATTACTTTTGCTGTCATCGCAGGTAACAAGCCTGAAAGTGGGAATTCGTAATGAACTACGTCGTTTATCAGGAAAATTTGCACAGTAAAGGCAGAGCTGCAGAATAATCAATGTTACAGATGCCTAAGAGGTATTTTTCTAGCAACATCAACATTTAATATTGTTCTTTGAGCAGAGCATATTGCTTGCCTTGCCGATAATCAGTAGATTAGCACATTCGAGAGTGATATCCGCGAGAAAGTAAACAACTACTCGGACAGCTCTCGAAGAAGTGGCGCAAATACACCGAACTAGCTACGACTACTGACTGAAAATATACAGCCCAGGATCGAAAGTGTCTGACGTCGCTGTGTTTACTGTGTGGGGGTATCCCAGTAAAAACTTCCTCTTAGAATACCTACACTAATTGGCTCTCACTGTCTCGTTATTCTTGGTGTTCCTCTCTAATCACTGTAATTTTTTTCTCGACTAGTCTGAAAAAACAACAGAGGAAGTAAGAAACGGTTTTTGTTAATGGCCTAGTCAAATGCCGTTAATTATATCGCGAACAGATTTTCATAAATTACATTTATATTTTTCTTAGTTTCTATTGCATTCAAAAAATCCTTCGGTAAAAATTCATTTCCAGTGCGAATACCTGACATAGAAGCAAAGTTAAGGTCATGCCCGGCGGTCCGCGACAAGTCACCAGTTTGACCGTATCCCGACAAACGCGCTACCACAAGTTTCTTATTATCCTAAAGTCCAGGAATATAATTCGATATTTTTGAAACAAAATAATGTGAAAGTTAAACTGCGTCTAAAATGAGCTACTCCCAACTATCACGAGAACTAGAAATGTAGGTTCTTCTCTTGGACCTAGGCTTAAAAGTAAAAGTGAGCTAAAAATGAAATGCGTTCTTGCACCGAGGAATTATGCTTAAAGAAGCATTGAAATAAGGGGAAGCTGCAGAAAACTTAGTGCAGCTTCATTATTTTGCCATAAGTTTTGCCGGGCGCAAAGTGAGTGAATGCGCTCTAAAATCGTATGAGGAAATGTAGGAAGTAACTGTATGAGTAAATATCGCAAAAAATGCAAAGTAGGGATTAAAAACAGAGAAAATAACATACTTTCAAGAGTTTCACTGGATCGAGACCCAATTTTTCCAGCACACCAGGCCGAAATGGATCCAACAGGACATCGCTGCACAATATCATTTCACGAGCCTTTTTCAAGCCATCTTCTGTTTTCAAATTTAGCAAAATCAATTCTTTTCCTCTAGTCAAACAATGCTCGTCGATAGGTAGTGTTTTTTCTCCCTTAAATTTTAATCTACACCTCTAGAACTGAGTTACATGTAGAATAGTCTCTCCTTCGAAGGTACTGTAAACCAGTGCAATAAGTTAATATCATAGTGCGGTAGTACGCTGCGGCTGTTTTCAAAAATACTCTAATTTAGCTTATTAATCATGTATTGTGTTTCTGTGTTCCTTTTTTTTTTCTCCTCTTCTACATTCAAATGTTTGATATGTAAGTACAAATGTGTGCGTGTGCCTTTTTTTGGTGAATAAAAATATTACGTCGTATCGTACATCCTCTACATGGCAAATGGGAAACCGTATTGATGATTTTTACTCCTGTCGGCACGTTTGGCTCTGCCTGCGTTTACAGCTGCGGGATAAAAAACAAACTACACTACGGTTTACTCATCGATGCCTTGATCCAGTATCTTGTTCTTCCTGTCACTAACCAGAGATTAATATCTGCATTACAAACATATTACCACTGTTTTATGTAAACTACCACCACAAACGCAAAGAGTATGACAGTCTCTTTTCAGATTGATGGATGAGTTTTGTCATCTTTGTTTTACAGAAATAACCCCCTAGATATGATAGAACAAAACAGCTTAGCGCTAAGAAACCGAAAAATTGCGTAGCACATAAGATCTTTCAAAAAAAGCAACCCTGGAAATAACTGTAACTTTGGCTCCAAAATCACTGAGTATGAGTCCACAGTGTGGTACCGGCACATAGCCCTCCAGTTCGATCACTTTGATGCCGTTCAGCGGTCGAATCTGCTTTGCACTGCTGCACATTCGAATGTACCGACACCACAGCGTACGGTTCAGTAAATACAAGAACATACTAATGGGTTGCTGCTACACCCATTTGTTCTGTGCTGCGTTTCTCTTCATTGCTAACAAGCTGATGAATGTTCAAATCCCTAAAAATTTGCTAAATTTTTAATTT